TTTTCCTCCGACCTCTTGCGGGACTTTTGTCAGGGGGAGGGCATCCTCCAGTCGTTCACGCTTCCGGCCTCTCCGCAGCAGAATGGGGTTGCTGAGCGCCGCATTGGCCTAGTCATGGAGGTCGCTCGCACCTCCATGATCCATGCGGCTGCTCCCCATTTTCTGTGGCCGTTTGCGGTCCGGTACGCTGCGCATCAGCTCAACCTCTGGCCCCGTGTCTCCTTGCCGGAGACCTCGCCCACCCTGCGTTGGACGGGAGAAGTTGGCGATGCGTCGCGTTTCCGGGTCTGGGGCTCTCATGCCTTTGTCCGCGATACCACCGCGGACAAGCTCTCCGCTCGTGCCATTCCCTGCGTCTTCCTTGGCTTTCCTACTGACGCGCCTGGCTGGCAGTTTTACCACCCCACCTCGCGCCGTGTTCTGTCCTCTCAGGACGTCACGTTTGACGAGTCAGTTCCCTTTTACCGTCTCTTCCCCTACCGCACTGCCTCTCTCCCCCCCCCCCGCTCTTCCTCACTCCAGGTCCACCCTTGGTAGACCCCCTCCCCCCTCAGGGTCCTGCTCCCTCAGGTGTCTCTCAGGTAGACCCCCCTCCCCTAGATGAGCCTGTCGAGGTCACTGGTGACTCTGGTGCTGCTAGAGGAGGTTCTGCTAGGGGTCCTGTGTCTGGGGGTGCTGAGCCTGCGGGTGCGGGGCCTGAGGGTGCTGAGCCTGCGGGTGCGGAGCCTGGGGGTGCTGAGCCTGAGCGCGTGGAGCCTGGCAGTGCTGAGCCTGAGCGCGTGGAGCCTGGGGGTGCTGAGCCTGAGCGTGAGGAGCCTGGGGTTGCTGAGCCTGGGGGTGCTGTGCCTGAGCGCGTGGAGCCTGGGGGTGCTGAGCCTGGGGGTGCTGAGCCTGAGCGTGTGGAGCCTGGGGGTGCTGTACCTGAGCGCGTGGAGCCTGGGGGTGCTGAGCCTGAGCGTGAGGAGCCTGGGGGTGCTGAGCCTGGGGGTGCTGAGCCTGGATGCCGCCGGCAGGAGCCTCTCTCCCCGCAGCAGCTGCGTGAGTGGTACACTCGACGCTACTGCCGTTCGCGTGGCGCTGCTGGTGCTGAGAGGCTCGGCCACTGGAGCTGCTGGAGCTGCGGGCGCTGCTGGTGGTGGCGCTGCTGGGGCTGGAGGTGCTGGGACTGCTGGACCTACTGACGCTGCTGGTGCTGGAGGAGCCCCTGGTGCTGTTGGTCCCGGAGGTGCTCGTACAGCAGTTACTGGAGCTGCCGGGGTTGGTGGTGCTGGTCCCGGGGCTACTGGAGCCGTCGGTGCTGACACTGGAGACGCTGGAGCTGGAGACACTGGGACTGGAGGTCCTGGTGCTGGAGGCGCTGACGTTGGAGTTCCTGGTGCTGGAGACTCTGGGGCGGGAGGAGTTGGAGCTGGTGACGCTAGCCCTGGAGGTGCTGCTGCTGGTGGTACAGCGCAGCGGCCTCTGTTCTTCACTCCGCTGTCGCCGTCGTCTCTCCCACCGCCTGACTCCGTGCTTCGTCAGGTTCTTACCCTCCCGTCTTCTACTGGTTTTCCGTTACAGCCTGGCTCTCCGCTGCCTGCTCCTTCTCCTTACACTGAGCAGGCAGACTCGCTTACAGAGCGTCGTGAGCCTGCGTCTCGTCCTGCCTCGCCTGTTCGCGCCGCTCGCACTGCTCGCCGTGTCCCGCGTCCGCGTCCTCCTCCTGTGCCGGGCACTCACACCATGGCACTTCGTCCCTCCTCTGCTCCGCAGCGCGTCCCACTGCCGTCTCCTCCTGCGTCCTCTCTTCCTGAGCTTCCTGACCCTGCGTCTGACGCTGTTCGTGCTGCCAGTCCCACCGTCACGCGTCTTCTGGCTACTGTTGTCACTGACCCGTCGTTTGAGTCTGCTGCTGCGTCTGCCTTAGTTGCTGAGCTCGTTGACTTTGCTGCTGTGTGTCGTCTAGACTACGCTGCCAGTCTTGTTGCTGAGTCTGTCGGGGGTGAGTGTGCTCTTGGCACGGACGTCCTTGACGACAGGCAGGAGGAGCTCGACTGTCTTGCGGCTGCTGTACCTCATCTCGTGGCCTGGCTGCTTGCCCCTGAGGGAGACCCGGATGCACTGGACATCCCGACCCCGCGCTCTTACACAGAGGCGATCTCGGGTCCCTACTCCTCTCAGTGGCAGACAACCATGGACGCAGAGATGGCATCCTGGAAGTCCACAGGCACCTACGTCGACGAGGTTCCCCCTCCTGGGGCGAACATAGTCGATGGCATGTGGATTTTCAGGGTGAAGCGGCCGCCGGGTTCTCCACCTGTCTTCAAGGCTCGTTACGTTGCACGAGGCTTCAGTCAGCGACAGGGAGTTGACTTCTTCCAGACCTTCTCCCCTACCCCAAAGATGACTACTCTTCGGGTGCTGCTGCACGTTGCCGCTCAGCGTGACTACGAGCTTCACTCTCTTAACTTCAGCACAGCGTTCTTGCAGGGCAGCCTGCACGAGGAGATCTGGCTGTGCCGCCATCCTGACTTCACTGGGTCGTTCCCTCCTGGTACCCAGTGGAGCCTCCGGCGCCCAGTCTACGGTCTCCGCCAGGCACCCCGTGAGTGGCACGACACACTGAGGACGACACTTGCGGCGCTTGGGTTTGCTCCTTCGACTGCAGACCCGTCGCTGTTCCTCCGCACCCACACGACGCTGCCGCTGTTCTACATCCTCGTGTACGTCGACGACCTGGTCTTTGCTACTGCTGACACTGAGGCACTCGCTCTTGTGAAGTCGGAGCTGCAGAGGAGACACACGTGCACAGACCTGGGTGAGCTGCGGAGCTACCTTGGCTTGCAGATCACCCGGGACAGAGCACGCCACACCATCACCTTGACTCAGTCACACATGGTGCAGCAGGTCCTTCAGTGCTTCGGCTTCCAGTTCTCCTCACCATAGTCCACTCCTCTGTCTACCGGTCACTCGCTCTCAGCTCCACCTTCGAACGAGTCCGTAGAGCCGAGTGGCCCGTACCCAGAGCTTGTGGGCTACCTCATGTACCTGATGACTTGCACACGACCTGACCTTGCGTACCCTCTTAGCATCCTGGCTCGCTACGTTGCGTCTGGGAGACACAGGCGAGAGCACTGGGAGGCTGCTAAGAGGGTGCTGCGCTACTTGTGCAGTACATCAGGCATGGGGCTGGTGCTTGGAGGACGGGGTGACGTTGTCCTCACTGGACACTCAGACGCCTCTTGGGTTGACGACCTGGCTACGCAGCGGTCGTCGCAGGGTTACACCTTCAGCCTTGGTTCTGGTTCTGTCTCTTGGCGGTCTACCCGCTCGTCTTCTGTTCTCAGCTCCAGTTGTGAGGCTGAGATCTACGCCACAGCCATGGCTGCACAGGAGTTACGCTGGCTCACTTACCTGCTGACTGACTTGGGAGAGCGGCCGCGTTCTCCTCCAGTTCTGTACGGCGACAACAAGGCAGCCCTTGCCTTGTGTCAGGAGCACAGACTGGAGCACAGGACAAAGCATATCGCTCTGCGTTACTTCCTTGCTCGAGAGCTACAGCAGCGCGGCCAGCTTCGCCTTGCTTACGTGGACACGCGGGCGAACACAGCTGATATATTCACCAAGGCACTTCCGCCTAGTGATCATCAGCGTCACTGCACTGCTCTAGGTCTCGTGCCTACGTTCTCACACTTGCTTACTGCTTGACCTTGCTTGTACTGTGATTCATTATATATACCTGCATGCCTGCTCTTGCTAGGTAGTGATCACTGTACTGTTTGCTCTCTCTTATATAACTATGCATGTGAACTGGCCATGTGGCCTTTGTGCTTGTGCTCGGAGTGTGGTGACGTTGTGATCCACCCAGAGCTTGCTTTGCTTTTCTTGACTGGTCTTGAGACCACTTGTTCTCCCCACTTTGCCTATGGGGGTGTGTTGAACTTCATGTGATGTTTAGGTTTTGTAGGCTACAGTGGGGTATTCACTAAGGGGTACAAGTCCTTTAGGGTTACATATTTGTATCACATTCTTCTCTTAGTTCATCATTCCTGCTTCTAGTTCTGACATAACACACCAATAAAACTGCTACCTTGGAGATTATCGTAAGCCCCCGGATATAAGCGCCACCCTCGGATAAGCGCCCAGCGCTTATAATTGGCATATGGCGCTTATATCCGGTCCTCGATTATAAGCGCACCCCTAACGGCTTACAGACTATAAGCACTACTGTTTGTATTATTTTCTATATTTTGAATGGAACATCTGTAACGAAACACACATCTTGCATCCCAACATTTACAATTTCGATGCCATTCACCCTCTCGCGACTCATCTCGTGCGCGTCTAGTCAGAATGACCTGTCATGGGGAAAACATGACTCATTCTGACTGTGTGAGTTGGCAGGGAATCATTCCCTGCCAACTTACGCGAGATTCTCATTCACAACCCTCTAAATTTCGACTTGATTCAAATCGCAAGAACGAGATGAACACTTTGATGAAAAAAAAAAACAAGAGGCGACGCAATCGTCTTAGGGTTGCGAAGCAACACTGGTAAACATGCGCCATTACATGTCGCCACAATCGCTCTATAACGATGGCATTGTCTTAGGTTTCAATCAAGATAAATATTAGCACGAGCGATGCTTCATATGTGCAATAATCTAGTCTCTCAGTTTCAATCTCAATAATAGATTTCAATTTCAACCTCACTGTTATCTTACCTGCAAATTGTGAAAAGGGAATTGAACATTTTGTTTAGTTGTTTAAAATTAACTACTCAAGAATTATGTAACAGAGTATTCTCTTCAATTTGCAAAAACCAGATCAGCAAAGGCAAGTGAAAACGGAACTTCCGCAAGCAAGAATCAAACCCCAGCTTTCCTTACCCCGAAACCAAACTCTACTCGCTAGGACAATGAGTGATGTTTATCGGAGGTTTTTAAATTATTCATACATTTCACTGATATTTGGCAGCACAACATCTAGGGTTTCATTCTTTTCCTCTTCGTTTTTCCCGTTATGCTTGTGGGAGCTCATCTTGGTCCTTGCTCTCGTTTTGGCGCTAGCTCACCTCAGCTAGCTTCCTTGGTTAGGTAAGCTTCAGCTTCTCTTCGCTTATGCCTACGACCTACTCCGAAACTAGGTTAGTAGGTATGTTAGATGTCTTACCTAACGCCGTGTTAGAAGCTGCTGCAGATTTCGACCTATTCAGGTAGGTCGATTCCTTGCCTGAAAACCGTTTCGAGGTTCTACCGGTATTTCCTAGCTTCTGCCATTCGTTTTCGTTTTTTAACCTCGCTTTCTTCCTAGTTTATGCACCGTACTTTTCTTCTCTCCTTCCCTCTGCTTCTCTCCACTTCTTCCCATCTTCCGCTCTCCTTTTTTTCGATTTACATTGGTCGTGCTTGCTCTTTTCAGCTCCTGCTCTTACTCTTGTTTTCTTCCATACGCTGTTTCTTGATTTTTTCCTCCACCTTAATGGAATTTTGAATAGATCTTTACAATTCTGTTCAGAGAGTTAGTTCACTAGGTAGGAGCATATTCTCTCTCTCTCGATCTCTCTCACTCGTTCTCTCTCTCTTTCTCTCTCTTACTCGTCCTCTCTCTCTCTCTCTCTCTCTCTCTCTCTCTCTCTCTCTCTCTCTCTCTCTCTCTCTCTCTCTCTCTCTCTCTCTCTCTCTCTCTCTCTCTCTCTCTCTCTCTCTCTCGTTCTCTCTCTCTCGTTCTCCCTCCCTCGTTCTCTCACTCTCGTTCTCTCTCTCGCGTTCGCTCTCTCTCGTTCCCTCTCTCTCGTTCTCGTTCTATCTCTCTCGCTATCTCTCTCTCTCTTTCTCGTTCTCGTTCTCTCCTCTCCCGTTCTCGTTCTCTCTCTCTCTCGTTCTCGTTCTCTCTCTCGTTTCCACTCTCTCGTTCTCTCTCTCCTTCGTTCTCCTTCGTTCTCTCTCTTGTTCTATCTCTCTCGTTCTCTCGTTCTCATTCGTTCTCTCTCTCTCTCTCTCTCTCTCTCTCTCTCTCTCTCTCTCTCTCTCTCTCTCTCTCTCTCTCTCTCTCTCTCTCTCTCTCTCTCTCTCGTTCGTTCTTTCTCGCTCGTTCGTTCTCTCTCGTTCGTCCTCTCTCTCTCGTCCTCTCTCTCTGTCGTCCTCTCTCTCTTGTTTTGAATCCATTCATGATTCTTCTTGTTTTCTCTGCTTCTTCCTTTCGGTTGATTTTCTTTCACCGTATTCACTGCTCGTCCCTTCTACTCGTTTTCCTTTCTTCGTCTTGTGATGGTTGTTTTATTTCTTCACCAGGTTGCGTGTACGCCAGATTAACTACCTTATGATTGAGCCAAGCGATTGAGAAATGTTGAATTGTAAAATTTGATTTAGGTTGTTGTTCATAAATTTTGCATCTTCTGTTTTCATTTCTTCCTACTTGTCTTTATTGTTTGTGCATTTGTATGCGGTAGTTTTCCTTCGTGTGTATGTGCGTATGCGTCATTGTGTGCATGCATGTGTGCGTGTTTTTTTTTTTTTTTTTTTTTTTTTTAATGTTCATCATTGCATCAACAATGCATGTCTGTTAATTTTTAAAAAGGGGTTCATTTCTATCATTTCTCATTGGTTCATTGGCGCACTCAGTGACTCGTGTGTTTGCCACTTCGAACTGGATTTGATAGAGTGAACCTCTTTTTTAGAGTTAACAGATTGTATTGTTTCATGTGCTAGTTGATTATTCAAAGACTTTGCTATTGACTTCCCCCCCATGCTAGGCAGGGGATGCGGTAGCCTAGTTTTTGGGTCGTTAACTATCACGCATTTGTATGATATACTGGTGTGGTGCATTTCAGCATATCATATGCATACAAAAGCATTTTCATGCGTGTAACAGTATTAGGTATGCATCTATATATCATGTCTCATCATTACATCCATTTAAGCATGCGTGGCGTGTAATTCATTACTAGTATTCACAACATTTATCACAACATATCAAACAATAAAAGATATAATACAAACAGTATAATATGCACGTAACAGGTATTACAAAGACAGCTACCAATACTGTTCAACATGCACAATGGGAAGGGTCGTACTGTAGCTGACGAATTTTATTTTCATGGTTTATTAAAAAAAATCATGAAAAAAAAATTGTCAAAATCGATCGTAAAGGGTTGCTTCGCAACCCAAAAAAAAATTCATATATGTCATTACATAAGCCCCGGCGCATATAAATTTACTCGATTATAAGCCCACCCCCCCAAAAAAACATGTTTTATTATATCCCCCCATGGGGGCTTATCCGGGGGGTGACGATATATCAGCTGATTTAGCACGGTGTTACGGGTGCAATGTATCGAGGCAGCAAGGATTGCACTACTGTAAGTTGGCAAACGAGTACCGTCATCACCCGGAGGTCAGATAGTGTTGAATAGAAGACAGGGTTGTAATGAATATGTAGACAGCCCCGAGCACATCGCGTCAGTGTGGCTCGGCCTACACTTTCGCACCGAACCAGTTCCGAGTCACCTCGCACCAATCGCGACACTTCCAACCCTCGCACGTCACGAGGTTCTCGCCTAGCTAGTTTGCGCCCTATATTTGCTCGCTTTCTTCATTGTTTCTTTATTCTGTAATCAAGTTTCTCTTTATAAAGTCTTCCGCGCACTCTGTTTAGTACAACTCACAAAACTTGGTATCAGAGCTACTTTCCTAGCTCACCCCGCTTTTTAGAGTGTATTACCCCTCGGGGGGGGGGGGGGAGAGGGGGGGACAGGGAAGGATGCCGTGGAGTCCAGGAGCTGCGCACTAGCTGGCCAGGAGAACGGGTAGTTGCTCCTAGCGGCCACGAAAGTTAGAGGCGCTCCTGCGGCACCGATGGATCCTTGCCCTTGACGGTCAAGATCGACTGTGGCCTCCCTCCCCCGGGTGGCTGACAGCTTTGGCTGTCGTCGCATTAGCGTATGTCAGTTGCGTGGCGTTTTCGTCAATTTTGGTTGTAAATCTATGTGGCAGCTGATGTCGAAAGGATCGTCGTCATGGCACGTCCGCGATTGTTGGAGACGACTGTAGTGCGAGTTGGCGTCTTCATGCGGTCGTCAACTGCGCGATGAATTCGGAACTGTTGCGTGCGGCAAGTGGCGTTGGAGCATCTTTGTTACGTTGCGCACGAGCGATTGGACGTCTTCGGCAAGTGATGTGCGGCGTCGCTGTGCGCGAAGATTTCGGGTAGCAGCATGTGAGGATCGAGGATCGAGCTCGGAAAAGTGAGTTGTAAATGATTCCTCCACCTGAGTACAACACGAGGCTATACATAGTCTCGACACAAGGCAGGTAACCCAGGTGTTACGCGAATGTTCTAAGGGTCGCGACGCGTCCCGAACTGAACCTTCCCGAACTCGGTAGAAGCAATTCGGTGGCAACCGAAAGGCTTGATCTCGGTATACGTAACCTGGTTCGGTGTTATACCTTTAATAACATACAAGAATGCACCTAACATCGGAAATCAAGCATAAACATGCAAGATAAAATAAACTTAAGCTAGTAATAGCATAGTAAAGTAAAGGTAAGCTATCAAAACCAGCATAAGCCGTCGTAGTCTCACACGTCCCCCCCTCAAAGCTGGGTGGCGTGAGAAACACCCTGCTTAACAATATAGTCATTGAGAGCACTGCGTGCGTTGCCCATATCAGCTTGCAACCCAGCTGTCCTCAGAGGGGTCGCATCCTTTCCAGCGCATCACGAACTCGAGGGTCTTGTCACCGCGGCGTCGATGAGTGAGAACACGGTTCACCTCGTACTCTGGTTCATCCTGTACAAGGACAAGTGGTGATGGCGGTAGCTGCCGTCCCTGGAACTGTTGGTTGGGGTCCTTGTAGGGCTTCAGTAGCTGAACATGGAAAGCATTGTGAAGCTTCCACGTAGAAGGTAAGCGCAAGCGGAATGTAACTAGTGTCACCTGTGCCTCAACAAGGAAGGGACCACAGAAGCGAGGTCAGAGTTTGGATGAGAGGTGAGATAGGTTCAATTTGCACGTGTCGAGAAGCACATGTTCTCCAAGTTCTACTAAGTGATCTCGTCGTTGTCGATCGGCATACTGCTTCTGGGAGTTCTGCATCGTGGTGAGACGTCGCTGAGTCTTCTCCCATAGCTGCTACATGATGGTGACAAAGCCGTGCGCGACTTGGACATGTGCCGGTGTGGTTGGCTGCTGTGGGGTGAGTGGTTCCCGTCCGTAAAAGAAAGGAGTTTTCCCTGTGGCCGCATGTCAAGTGTTGTTGTAAGCGAACTCAAGTGTCGGTAACTGTAAGTCCCAGTGACTGATGTCGTCTTTGCAAGCTGTGCGCAGTAACTGTTTAACCACCTGATTGAGTCGCTCCGTCTGTCCGTCAGTCTGGGGGTGTTATGTTGAAGACATCGCAAGCTTTGTCCCCAACAATCCCATGAGCTCCTTCCAGAACTTACTCGTGAACTTGGGGTCTCTGTCGGAGATGAGTGTAGCGGGGATGCCGTGGATGGTGATAATGCGGTCGAAGAAGAGGCGAGCAGTTGCTTCAGCTGTAGCCGTGGCGTTGGTCGGGATCAAGTGGCCCATTTTGGGGAAATTGTCGATCACCACGAGTATAGCGTCATGCCCTCGTGAGGTCGAAGGTGTCAAAATAGCAGGCTAAGATCAGAAACAAGAAAGAGGAGCTTTTCACTAGCAGGCAGTTGAGTACATATAGCAAACCCATTATTCGGGCTGTACTCGCTATAGAGTACCCCACTGCAGGCTAGACAAACATCACATTCTGACACACCCCCATAGTCAAAGTGGGGTACAATCAACACAACAAGCAGGCAGAGCAGTAGTTCACAATGATAAGCAAAGCTAGAGACTATCACAGAGGGCAAGTGAGGAGGAGGAGAAACTGTGAGGGCGAGAAGATGGGAGGCGACGGCTGAAGCTGCAGACACACGGGCAACAGGAGTGCGCAGCACTGTCGCTACCAGGCGCAGAGCCCCGGACTACACGGCGACAGGCGCAGCTGGCTCTCTGTGCTCCCAGGAGTGCTCACACTGTGGCTACCAGGCGCAGAGCCCCGGACTACACGGCCACAGACGCAGCTGGCTCTCTGGACTACCAGGAGTGCTCACACTGTGGCTACCAGGCGCAGAGCCCCGGACTACACGGCCACAGACGCAGCTGGCTCTCTGGACTACAGGCGCTGCGGACGACAAGACGGCTGCCTCCACTCAACTTCCCCCAGCTGTCCCACACCCCTTTCACACACCCCCTGCTGTACCTCTAGCACTGCTCACACGCCACCCCCCTCGTACCACTCCGACGGCTCCAACACATCCACCCCCCTCAGCGGTAGCTGCAGCAGTGGGAGACGGAGGAGGAGGAGGAGCAGGGGATGGCGCACACACACCCGTCACCCCCACACTTGCCACCCCCAAACCCTAACACAGGCAGCAGCGGGGGGGCGGTGCGAGGGCAGCAGCTCGGGGGATGGCGCGCGGCTCCCCAGGGCGCCGCGACGGGGCAGCGGGGGGGCGTGCGCGGCTCCCTCGAGCACCGCGACGGGGCAGCGGGGGCCGCGCGCGGCTCCCCAGGGCGCCGCGACGGGGCAGCGGGGGCCGCGCCTCCCCAGGGCGTCGCGACGAGGCTGCGAGGGGCCGCACGCGGCTCCCCAGGGCGTCGCGACAAGGTCCCGGGGGGCGACGTGACCGTTGACGGGGGGCGACGCGCGGATCGACGGGGCAGAAAACAGACGCCGCGCGCCCTGAGTGCGCGGCAGGCATCAAACATCGCGCGCCCAGGGCGTGCGATAGGCAGGACAGCAGCGGAAGCATCGGGCGGGACCACCCACAGGATCGACCCAGGAGGGTCGACCTGCTCTGATAGCATGTCAAAATAGCAGGCTAAGATCAGAAACAAGAAAGAGGAGCTTTTCACTAGCAGGCAGTTGAGTACATATAGCAAACCCTAATTCGGGCTGTACTCGCTATAGAGTACCCCACTGCAGGCTAGACAAACATCACATTCTGACAGAAGGAAGTCCTGTGATGAAGTCTAAGCTAACGACCTGCCATGGCTGCTCTGGTACGGGTAGAGGCTGAAGTAACCCTGCCTTTTTCTGCTTGCTACTCTTCATCTGCTGGCACGTGTCGCATGAGGTGACGAACTGCTGCAC